GCAGTTAGCTAAAGTAAAGAGTATGACTTTTTAACTACCCAAGTGTCCAAAGTTTTGAATATCTTCATATGTTCTCCATGTTTTTTTCCCCAAAAATATATTGTTGAAAAATTCGGTTTGCCAAAGGATAGTCTATTGAGTTAATTATAAGACTTAAATAGAGGTTAAGATAACATTCTGAAAAAAAGGGCATTTTCCCTTGACCTCTAGTGGTACTAAACTGGAACTGATGACACTTTTCTATTGATACAGTGCTGTATTACTGTAATTCCGGTGAAAACAGTGTGCCATGACCCAAATAATTGAAAGACTGCATAAATCTTTACATATGCCTTACAGATAAATGATAAAGTAACTATTTAAGAGATTACTTCAAAAGACAGAGAGAATAAAAAACTAACATAAGTTATAAGTTTAACACCCTTTTTGTAAAAAGCTGAGATTGAATGTATTGTGTGTGTTTTAGATTCACTGTTGATGTTGCTCTATGGTTAACCAAGCTTTAAATAATGTAATCTGAGGTATTGTATATTATGTTACTCTTCACGTTATCAAGTGATGGATAATCAGTTCAACTTGTGATGTTAAAACTTGTAGATATTGTTTTAAAACCAGATATTTCTGGTGTTTTCCTTGGTTTGGATTATGCCATCCCTTTACTTACATAGCAAACCCTTCAAAGGACCTGCCTCTACCCTGAGATTATATTAACATGTGAATACTATATTTGTAAGTCAATTGAAGGCATCTGTTTTTTTATTTTAGATTATATTTGTGAATTAAAGTGAAAATGACCAATAATGAATGTAAATGTACCTTTTTCTAATGCTGTTTGCAAGACACCCTGAACAATGCACTCATTGGGCCGGATCTATCAAACGTTTGCGTGTATAAATACGTGAGCTATTTCACTGCGCACGCTAAAAAATGTACAAACTGATCTATCAACAGCGTGCTAAAAGGATTTGGTCTTTAAAACGTGCTAAATAGCGTCTCTTATCCATTTAGTACTTTTTCTGCAATGAATATGCAATATGGGGCGTTTACACGCAAAAGTGCGTCTTGTGGGAGGAGAACATGTAAATATATTAATTTAGCACTCGCAAAGTGATTTATTAAACCTGAAAGCAATTTTGCTAACGGTATCTGACTCTATATTTAACATGTTTCAAAAGAAGGTGCAAATGGACTGTATGCGTAATTGCGCACACATGGCAGCGGTTATTGTCGCAAGAAGGAGACATCGAAATGAAGCAAGGAGACGCAGAGAACGCATTTTTTCACTCCGTGTGAATATTTTTGCAATGAAGGAGGAAACGATCATAAAAACATATCGTTTATCCAGCATTGCCATTTTGGAGCTGTTGGGGGAACTCCGAATGGATTTGGAGCCAGCCACAAGGAGGACCCACGCAATACCAGATATCACAAAACTCCTTGCAACGTTGCACTTTTTTGCATCTGGGTCATTCCAGCGTACGGTTGCAGCGAGAGCTGGGATCTCCCAATCTTGTTTTTCAGAAGTGCTGTCCGACGGGGTCGGGGTTCTCCCCCTGCGCCTGTGGAGCAACGTGCCAATGCTGCGCAGTAATCTCATCCACAGTCACTTCTTGTGAGCCATTTGGTATGTGCATTTTTCTACAGGCCAATACAAAACACCAGTTTTTTTTTTTTTTGTTTTTTTTTTTTTTTTACTGCAGTGAAGTAGAAATTCAGCCACATACCACCTTAGGGAATAAAGGTTGCCAAATTTTTTTCTTTATATATATATATATATATATTTTTTTTTTTTTTTTTTGGGGGGGTCACTGTAAGATTAAAATTTCTTAATGCACTAGTTTGCACAAACTACAAACTACTTTGCCGCAAACCACAAAACGCGCAAAACCATCATTTAAATAGGGCGTCTCCAACAGTTTTGCACCTGCCACCAGTTACGCAATCACTCTTGTTAAATCACCCGCAAACCATGGTTAAGCCCCTCGCGCAAAATTCCAGTTTGCGAGCGCAAATTACTGCACACAAAATTGGATCTTGATAAATCCGGCCCATTGTGTATTGTTTTTTTCTTGCACCTCACATTTCTGTTCTAGTTTTTGTTGGTCTCTCACATTGAGCAAAATATTTTTGGTGATAATTTGACAAAATGTAAAAATGTTGAAAGTTATGAATACTGTTCCATTGGATTGCATGGCTGATGGGATTTTGGCGTACTGTTATTACATCCTTTTAATTCCACATACATTTGAAATTAACCCTAACCATTTTTAAGAATTGTTACTTTTTTAGATTAAAAGTAATGCTGCTTTGCATAAATAAGGTAACTTCTTACTTCAGCAAGGAATTAAAAGTATATTATTTAATTAAAATAACCTTGATAAATCATGACATCTAAACAGCAGAGCTGTTGTAACTTCACACATCTCCTCAATGAGGGCTTAAAATATGAAATGTTGCTGATCTGGTGGTTCTCAAAAAACTGTCAGCAAACTCATTGTGTTCCTTAAATAACCTCCAGCACATCCAGGTGCAGCTGCCATAAAGGTGCTGGAAGTGACAAACACACTAAAGCAACATGGGATCAAGAGGAAACTGAGTATATAAATCTCTGAATACAAATCCTGAATTATGCAATTATCCAGTGGGTAATCCAAAAATTATTACTATTTCAGCATGGTGCATTTTCATCACAGACTGGACTGGCAAACGTAGATTTCAAAATCCACTGTGACAACTTTGCTTTCCTTTTGTGACTCTTAAATGTGATGCTCTGAAGTTCATGAGCTGTCCTGAGGTGGCTTCTAACAGTAGGGGTGGAGAACAAGCACTCTGTTTGTAGGATGTTGATAGCAGACTAGGCTGACACCCAGGGCTGATAGCTGGACTAAAATCACTGACTCTCTACCTAAGACTGAGTACTCCCCGCCACACACACACACACACACACACACACACACACACACACACACACACACACACACACACACACACACACACACACACACACACACACACACACACACACACACACACACACACACACACACACACACACACACACACACACAGCTGAAATAAGGACAAAGCCTGAGGCTCCCAGTTGGGTATCCATCATTCGAGAGATGGAATCTCTCCGCTGTCTTTCTCTTTCTCACTTTCTCTCCACTTTTTTTCATTTTCTAGTGCTTCTTATATTTTTATTTTTTTTTCATAATTTTTTGCGTGGATAAAAAAAAAAATAAATCACCTTCTTCAAATTGAAATAAGGAGAAATACATGCATTGCGTTATCTAACCTCTTGAACACTGTGTGGTTGTTTATTGCCATCATTAAGTCAACATGTTCTTGCTAAAACTTGCAATGGTACCTGTTACCATGGCAGAGGAAACAGGTGTAACAAAAAAGCCAAAGAGAACAAGCTGAGAAAGAGCTGACAAACACTCTAATTTGAAATTGAAAAGTATTCTGACACAAGAAGATCTAATTGTCTTAGACCAAGAAACATACATGCACACTAATCACTCATACACACGTAGGGGAGAGTATTATTCATGTCTTAAACAAATATTTTGGCTGCTGATAAACTGACAATTAATTGAAAGTCACTGCCGTTATTCCTCAGTCACGTAAACCAGTTTGATTTGCTTCCAACATATTATGTTTGAAGCATTTATGTTTTACTGCCTCTTCTTTGCAAGATTTTCTTGCATATAAAAAAAAAACAAACTACTAAAATAATTTAGTCATGTTGCTAAATCAATAGTCATGACAATAACAACATCTTTCTAATTTTGAATTACTACTGCTGAATGGCTTTCGCTGGCTACTCTGCACTCTGCTCTATTGCCACCAAATTATTTTAATTCTATTCCAAAAACAACTGCACATGGCATCCCATTATAATCAGACAGGTACTCTCACAGGTTAAGCCACTAAATCATATAAAAAAAGATGTGATAGAATACCTAATCTATCTGTAGATACGTTTACTGTTTTCCAAAAAAGTAAAAGGTCCTTTAAAAAAAATGATAATAATTATATTAAAACACATTAAAGATGAAGCTGAGTGATGGAAAAAAATTAATATTTGTTAGTTCAGACATTTGATTTATTCTAATTTCCATATTTAAAATCCATCATCATTTAGTGTAATCATGGCACATGCAGTGAGACAGTATGTAAGATTTACTGAATAACATCTTTAAGATAGCCTAAAACAATGTTTGATCGTAGGACTAGATATACCATTAGTTCAATGCTGATGCATCTACAGTATAGGCCTGCAGCCTATTTTCCTTAATATACTTTGGGTCAGAAGTTCCCACTCTGTTTTGCAAATGTGACGTCTAGCATCACATCTTAAATGGGTTTGACTTAGCAAATAATAGAAGCATTATATTCACGAAGAATGTTGTGGATACTCGAAAGCAACCAGGATCCAGCTTAGGTCAGACACCAATAGCTCCAGCAATAACTCCAGGTGAGGTAAAAAAAAAAAAAAAGGAAAAAAAAAAAAGTCTTGCTAGGTAAGAAAGAAGAGAGCAGCTCTGTGTTTGGCCACAGATGGAAGTATCATTAGAAAACTCTGCAATGCCTCTTTAATTACAACCAACCTTAAAATACAATTTGGTTACAAAAAATGTAAACAGTGGGGATCTATGACTTTAGTTAAATTCCTTTAGCCTACACTGTACATAAGCAAAAATAAAATAGTGGTATATATAATAATTGAGTTCACCTTAAGTGAACTAATGTGGTAAATCTGAGTTAATCTTAAGTGTTGTAATATAAGAGGCCAGATAAGAGCTTAAGCCTGGCATGCACTGTACGATATTTTCAATCGTTGTACTCAGCTGATGCTCAAACTGTCCAACAAAACCGCAGGTTTTAAAAGTACACGGTTCACGATGTCTTTTCTTACACTGTACGGCTAAATGCTTTGATGAGATCTAGCTGCTCACACTTTGTCTAAAACAACATCTCAGGCTCATCACCGAGAGATGGCACTGGTCGGACTCATCAATCTTGAAGAAGAAGAATTTCCATGTTTGCACATGCGCAGCGTGCGAGGTTCCGATAAATCAACTCGTAGATGCTCCTAGCTCTGCTTCAACATTAGGATTTGCTCACAAACACAAGGGACAACGGAATTTCAAACATGTTTAATTTTCTCCTGACCATACGATTCCTCATCGTGAGGCGGTCATGAGAGGCTAATTTCCCCTTTTTACCCTCTATATACTTCACAATGCAGGACAAACGATGAGACTGGAACTCAGCCCAATCTGAAAAATTCTCGCATGCTCTGAGAATCGGCATGAAATGGGGAAAAACGCGTACAGTGTATACCCGCCTTAAGACCTGATAGAAAACTGATGTGTTTCCAGTTTGGGTTGTTTTGTCAAAGGAAGTTGACCAGAGCTGTAGGTCACAGAAAGGAGAATCAGCTTGTGTGCGTTGGAAAGGCTAGTAATCAATCATTTTGTTAAGAACATTCAGAACCTTGCTGAACCTCTCTCTCTTACAGGAATGACGCGTTGAATTTCCATGTGCAGCCAAAAGATTATACAATTCATAGGGATCACACACATGCTTTTTGTACATGCAAATACACTTCCATGATAAGAAAGTGTATAAACAGACTAGCATTATCTGTGTAGAGATGTTTACCCTTGGATGCGTATGGGAAAATAATTTAATGACCTTTTGTGAAAAAAAAAAAGAAAAAAAAAACTTCCCAGAGTGTAGCCGAGATGGACGAGGGAATCCCAGCTGCTGTCTCATTCTTTTTTTAAAGAGAATTACCCACTACAAAATCAAACCTCCAATGAGGCAATGAAGGGCAACCATTTTGCTTGGCAGAACACTGAAATTTTGCATTACTGACAATTACAAGGAGAAAAAAAAATAGAAGACAATCAAGTATCTGGCTAAAAGTAAACTGTCAGGGTTTGGTTGTGGTATTGGACCCAATTGCAGAGGCTGAGAGGCAGTGGTGAGTTCTTGCAGCTTATTTAATTAACACAGGAAACAGAGGCAGGAATCCACTAAATCCACAAATCCAACTTAAAAATGTAAAACAAACCAGAACCATGGAGACACCAGCGGAGACCAGTCATGAGGAGCCGTGGTAAGACCAGGAAAGACTAAGTAAGACGGAGTAAGACGAAGTATGACTAGTTAGACGGAGTTAGACGAGGACCCAGCACTGGGGAACTGCACAGGGAGAGTATTTATGGGACACCGAACAAAGAGAGGGTTAATGAGCTGATTGGGAGCAGGTGTGAAGAGAGGAGTCTAGAAAGGAGCTAGGGAAAAGGATACCAAGAGGGCAACAGAAGGCAAAAAAATAAAAACCTAAAAACTGAAATATAACCAGAAAACACAACAACATAGGAATAAAAACCAATAAAACTTGAAAATATGGATCAAAGTAATGCATAACAGAACCAAGACCATGACATAAATACAGTAGGGCAAATGAAATGGGATCATTAAACATCAAGGTATAACTAGAGCAACAAGAAGGATAGGTCAGTGTCTCCTTGCATAACCACAACTACATATTTTTAAAAGGAAAATAAAGGTGTGGATACACATATCCACACTATATTTATCTTCTGTGAATACAATTAGTATATCAGTAAATAAAATGGCAGCACTTCGATTTATTCAGGCAATTGCTGTTGCTCAAACTGAACATCAGAATGGCAAAGAAAGGAGATCTAAGTTACCTGAATGCTTTTGGTGACAGATAGCTTGTTTAACTGTTTCATACACTGCAGATCTACCAGGGTTTTCACTCACAGCAATCTCTCTGATTTGAAGATAATGGTGAGAATACAAAATCCATGTGGTAGGTGTGTGAGCATCAAATACTAATGTGACTCGAAATCAAATCATTGATCATGAACTTTATCATAATCATTCAAAACTACATTGTCATTCATGCTTGTACTGTTGAGCCATAACATAAAAAAGACAAATATGGCAACTCTCATTTTAGATCAAAAACAGTATATAATTTTAGCAAAAGTTTTTCATGTCACATTTCTTCTCCCAATAATCACAAAGGTGATGTGCACCCCAGATTAACACATACATTTTGACAAGGTCAAAATATTAAAGTAGAGCAATGGAAGGATCAAAGCATTTTCTTGAAGGAGTCACAGCCCTTTAGAATGGTGTGGAGATCAAAATAGAGATGAGGATTATCAGTCACCTGTGGAAAGTGTTATAATAGAAGACATGAAGAATGGCTTTCTAAACATATTGTTTCTCTAATCACATTTGAGATGCCGTTGTGTTTTAATTTGATACAATATTAAATTATATTAAATATCAATTCTAACAGCCCGGTCTCAAAATACATTTATACTCTTCTTTAGAGATTGATTAAGATGTATAGTTGGATTTAAAAGTCAAACTTTTTATCTGTGATGTGCTTTAATAAGTAACAGGCAACAACACATGATATCTTTCCCATGAAATTATTGAGGTCAACAGATCAAAGCAACCCATCTCATTTCTTGTTCTTACTTAGATGCAGCTCTATATTGGTTTTCAGTTTTCCCCCCTTTAAAATTTTTAATTGCAATACACACATTTTTCAATAGAACAAATAGCTTTTTTTTGTTTTGTAATTTTTTCAACAAAGTTTATGATGACTGATAGAAAAGCAGACTAATCAAAAAATATTCTCAAGGAAATTCAAACAGCCATTAGGAAACCCTTTTTACACACATTTAATTTAAAATTTGCCATGAAATGCACACTGAGCCTGTCACAGCAGTGGTGCAGAGGTTAAGCACGTGAACCACATACAGCTCCCACAAAAATAATAAAGACCACTAGTGCCTGAAAAAAATTCTTACACTTTCAAACATTAGGCTTCAACAACAAGTCAGGATGTTAGCCACTGGGTCAAGCAAGTTCATTTTGTGAAAATCCCAGTCGAGCATCTGTAAACTTTCACACTGAGAAATATATTTGTTACCCACAGAGGTTGTAAAGCAACGGAACAGTTCCTCTTTCTAGCTCTATGTTGTATTTGATGTGCAAGTTGATGTACAGAATTAAAGAAAAACAAATAATGAGAAAGTGGATCACTTAATGTGTTTTTTTGGGGGGCTTTTCAGCTTGGTTTATGATGGTTAATTCCTTTAATACTTAAAATTATAAAGGAGGATGTTCTTTTTTGGTAGGATCATAAAAATAAATGGTCCTTTTAATTGTCAATTATTTTGGTGATATGTTTACGTAAGGCCATCCTATGTGCTTGCCCCCATTTTCACTTACCGGTGGTGATTCTGACATAATGGAAAAATAGCTAATCTTCTTTTGGAAAGTAAGCTTTTATGAGTGATGCAAAAAGCAACTTCTAAACGGAGCTTGCACGATGCTCTCGCACACGTTTTGTGCGTTCCTTCTTAGGAGCGAGGACAGGCTTGTGCGTGTGCATTTTTTAAAGGTGGAGAGGGCGAGTCTTTTCAAAAATTTGTGAAAATACTCCACTATACCTTTAATTTTTTATCATACTCTTTTCTCTTTGAGTTTTATTGAAGTTTCAACTTTATGCAACAAAAATAGAAAAATGTCATAAATGTTTGATATGTTATTTCAATATCTTGTACCTTCAATAGAAAGTTTTTGTCCAAATAACTTGAACTTTGAGGTTGGTCAGATAATTAGTTTTTTTCAGTTTTTTTGGGACTCTTTTGTTTATGTTGAGTCTAATAATCGTTGCATTATTGCATATACCCACTTCTCCTCGTGCACACTGTTTAAAAGTTACTTATCTCATAGCTCATACAAGCTTACTGTGCCTGAACGTCTGCTCTAACCGTTAAATCCCTTAATCAATATATATGATATATATACTGTGCAGTGGATTTTATAGCGCATTCAGTTAACTTAAAGTTTGGACAGATGATCACCACTTTTTGCTACCCGTTGATGACATAAATCCCCCTCCACTGCGCGTGCCTGCACTATCTTTCTTATTAGTCGCCACTGTCGGGTTACGACACCCTAAAAGGACAGCGGGCCACTGTGACAGCAAATCCCATAATGCTTTGCGAGGAGAGCTCTCACTTTTCCTCTTGCGACCCTCTGCCATTTTCAAAGAACCTCTGAGAAAGGTGAGCTTCAATGACTGAGATATCAGTTGTGCTGCTGCCATCAACACCTTTGTTTATAGATGTTGGAGCTTGGCCTGTTTTACAGTGTAGTCCTGTTTATTTTACTGTGACTAACTCCATGTGCTCTCTTTCATCCTCTAACATGCAGGCTGGCTTGGAGCTTGTCCGCCTGGCTGTGTTTTTCCAGGATGAGGCCACCTGTGGAGCTGGTTGACAGTTGCCTTTGTTTCTCTGCTTCTGTTTTTCTGCTTCTCTCTCCTTGAACCCAAGTTGGCCTCAGCAGATAGCCACTCACACTGATGTCAAGGCTCAGAGAGGAGGATCCTGTATTCAAGAGAGACAGAGAGATAATTTAAAAGTGTTTATTTAAAAACGATCTGCAGAAGCAGCGGTTAGGGCATCCAGGGCAGGAACCTCTGCAGAAAGGCAACACAGGTTAGTAACTGTGCAAATCTGGTGGAGGAAGATTATGAATGTGAGTCATTAACCTGATTTTCCAGTTCAGTCCAAGCCCAGAGAATGAGATAGGAAAAAACTTAGTAATACAGCTTATGTCAAAAATGATTGATGACTAATGACCTGACCTTATGACCTTATGACCTTATGTCAAAAATGATTGATGACTAATGACTTATGAACTTATGACCTTATGACCTTATGTCAAAAATGATTGATAACATATGACGTATATGACATGACCTTATGACTTAGGAACTATGAACTCTATGACCCGCACCCGATCAAAGGAATTTCTTATAACCCTTTTATGACCCGTAAATTTCTGCACAGTCACGCACCATCACATTTTTGCTTCATCAATCAAATTCTTGTCTATAAACATTGTTTTCTTCCCATTCAAAAAGATATGCCAGCTTCTCATCTGCTTTTCTCCTCTGCAGGGTAATAAAAAACGGGCCTTCCAGCCGCAGGCTGTACAGGGAGCGTTGCAGCCTAGGTCTCTTCAATCATCTCCTCTACCTAGCCCCAGCTCCGTCTGGCCGGTTCATTTTCCTCCTCCACGCCCCGTAAGCCACCCTGCGTCCCATACCACAGTGCATCCCACAGGTTCTCATCCCTTCAGGCAGCAGCAGCAGGTGGCTCTGGCCCCTCAGCTCCCAGGCTCTCGCTCGACCAGCCACCAAAGTTCCAAGCAGCCGCTGACATCCATTACCCAGTCTCTTGGGCAAGCTGGGTCGGAGGGAGGTGCAGCCCAGGCGGGGAGCGCTCCACAGCCGCCTCGGTCTGATCTAGTCGGGCAGCTCGCCCATACTGAGCCGGTGGTCGAACAAATCGCAGAACCAGGGTCGGAGGGAGCTGCAGCCCCGGCGGGGAGTGATTTACAAGCGGATGGAGAAAGAGACAGTTGGGGTAAGCTTAAAAAATATTTTATCTTAGTCCCGTGTGATGAATATACGCCGGTCATATATAAAAAAGTAAATAAATTATTAACTTTTTTTCTCGCAGACACAGCCATTCTGAATGAAAGATCTGATCAGCCAGCTTGTAGTTCAACACCAACAGAAGCCGATGGTAAGAAAAAATAAATTAATTCTCAGTTTTAATATCATATAATCATATATATTTTTCTTTGTTAGACTCTCGGCCTTTCAGTATAGGGAGGGTATTGACTCTCCGCCGTTCTTACAAACGGAGAAAACAAAGATCTGATCAGCCAGCTGAAGCCGATGGTAAGAAAAATTAAAATAAATTAATTCTTAGTTTTATTATCATATAACCATATATATTTTTCTTTGTTTTTTCTGTTAGACTCTCAGCCTCTCGCTAAAAGGAAGGCATTGAAAGTCCGGCGTTCTTCAAATCAGAGAAAAGAAAGTAAATAGCCTTTTTATTTATTTAGTTTTTTTTTTTTTTAAAGGATTTTATTTTTAAGTCGGTCTTACTAAAGCGCGTTATTTTTTTTTTTCCTCAGCAGGAAAACGAAGGAAGTGCTCCACCAGAAACATACAGTCAGCCGGCGCTTCTGCTGCGCCGCTGATCCGACACACTGCGCAAGGGGAAGCCGCGGGAGTTGTACTCCAGGATATAGCGGAAGCCGGAAGTGGCGGCGAGGTTGTAGTCCACGAAACCGGAAGCGGTGGAGAAGATCGGGAAACCAGAAGTGACGGTGACGTTGTAGTCCAGGAACCCGATAATGGCGGAGAAATTGTAGTCCAGGATATACCGGAAGCAGGAAGTGGTGAAGAAGATCAAAAAATTGAAAATACGATTCAAGAAAGATCTGACCAGCCAACTTGTAGTTCAACACCCGAAACCAATGGTAAGAAAATAAAATAATAATAATAATAATTCTGAGATTTAATATCATATAATCATATTTATATATTTTTCACTCTCTTAGACTCACCCCTTCTCGCTATAACGAACAGACTGAGAAATGAAGGTAAATACTCTTTATTTTTTATTTTTTAATTCAATCTTAGTTAGTTAATTGTTTTATTTATTTTTTCCTCAGTAAGAAATCGAATCGGCCAGTCCGGCATTCCCATCAGAGAAGAATCTAGACACCTGGCTTTTCACACATTGACGGCTGTGAGCGAGCTTCTGTCTGCAGCCGGCAACCAAGAAGAAGTTCCCGAACGCCTGGTTATTCAGGCATTGGCAGCTGTCGGCGAGCTTCTGACTGCACCAGGCAACCAAGAAGACCCCAGCTTCCGTTTGTCCATCTTGGTGAATATGTGCTATATAATGAAGAACATTCTTGGATGAAAAAAAAAAAGTCTAGTGAATAAACATGTCTGACCCGCATTTATCTCAGTCAAACACATCTCCGAATGTTTCTCCTTCTAGTGAAAATCAAAATGCAGCACAACCAGATTCTTTAGATGAATTTGTCTCTGAAGCGGTTTTACAGAATTTGCGAAATATTGCCGATGATATAAGCCCGTTAATTGATGCCGGTTCGCCTTTAAATCCGACCTCTCCCTTAGAAGATACAACTCTTTCTCACAGTCCGCCTCCGCAGCAAGAAAATCATCTAGAACGCTTAATTAGCTTGGAGCAAGCTCTGAGCGAATTTTCCAGACATTCTCCTTCTAGTGAAAATCTTTTACCGTTAAACCATTCCCTTCCTTCTCAAAATGTTATTCAATCCGGTGGTGGGGGAGGAGTACAAACCCTAAACAGAGAAAATTTTAACAATGTGGAAATTAGGGAACGGCTTTCACTAAATCAGAATGGTTCAGAGGGAGATTTAGCAGAAATATTCCTCAGCATGATGAACGTTTTATCCAATCTGGCTGAAAGAATAAGACCGCTCGCATCTAGAAATGATGTCATACAACTTGAACTAGTAACCGATGGTGGGTCTCATCACACAAACTTTATCGTAAATTATGATGGGGAAAATATCATGGAGGAACTTGAAAAATTTACGGAGACTTTGGTACAATCTAATTCCGCAATAACCGAAGAGGATAATGTGGAATTCATTCTCCAGCTGATTCGGAATCCTAACGGGGGTGGCAGACTAAAACTTGAAAAAATTGTAGACCAAGAATTAATAAAAAGAAAGAGAAGACATTTAATCGTGATTAACGATGACGGCGATCAACTTTGCTTTGCAAAAAATTTAGCCTGTTTAGCATATCCGAATCTCTTCCCACATAGAGGTTTGTCATCAGGCTAGAGCGTGGCAAAGGCAGGCAGGACTTTCTGATCAAACACCAGTTTCCTTTTCAGATGTCAAAACATTTGAAGAAATCTTAAACAGAAAGATTGTGATATATTATCGCTCAGTAAATGAAAGCCCTCTTTTTCAAAATTTTTAAACCCCAATTTTTAAAAACCCCCCATACCCCCTTTTCTTGTTTCTATTCAACCACTTTTATTAGGGGATCAAATTCTAAATTTTTCGGTTTTCCCAATTACGTATGCGATTTTTGCTTTTCCCCTTTTGAAAATTTTAAAGACAGAAATTCCTGTGGGTTTTCATTGTCCCTCTGAAAAACGATCCGGGCCCTGTACTCAGCATTTTCCTCACCATTTTTTTTGCCCCAAAGGGCCAATTTTGACAGGCCAAATTTAAAACCTTTATGCAAAACTAAAATAAAAAAAGGGAAAGCCCCGTTAGAAAAAAACCAGGGGGCCATTTAATTGTGGAACATAAAATTTTTTGTCTAAAGGGGGAAAAAAAATTTTATATTCCCACTCTACCCCCGCAAACCCCCAGTATGTTAACCTGGGGAAAATGCCATATGCGGAAAAAAAAATTTTTCTCCAGTTTTGGGTGGGGAGACACCATGTTTCATTCAACCCTTTGTCCAAAAAAGTTTAAAAAAACTAAGGAAAATTCTTTTTTTTTGACATTGAACCTTTTTAACGAGGAACCCAAACACTTCCCTTTTCCCTCGCTGTCAAAAGATTCTGGGGAAAAGAAGGTCATTCCTTTGGCCCTGAAATGCTTTCCCAAGATTTTATTCTCCACTTTCAAGCCCAAAATTTTCCCAAAATTTTGTTTTTTTGGGGCGCAAAAGGGTTAATTTTAAACTATTATTGGGGTTCCCAAATGCCATTTTTCAAAATGGGTATAAAACCTGGCATCTTTAATCAAGGTTGAAAAAATTTCTCATTTTATCGCCCCAGAAGGGTTTTAAATTTTTTTAATAGTCTTTCTTTTCCCTACCTATGAAACTCGGGTGCCTTCCAAAAAGTTTTGGGGCTTTGGGCGAAAAAAAGAAAAGGGTTTTACTTTCCACAAAAATTTTTCTTTCCCAAAAAAAATTTGAAATACGTCGGCCCCGAACCCCCACCACACGCCTAGGGGATAGAAAATATGGTCACCCCCTTTAAAAAGAAAGTTTTTGCCCTGGACAAAAACGCTTCTTTTCCCCTTTTTCCCTCTTTTGAAAAAAGCAAAGTAACTGAAAAAACGATTTTAAAAACCCTTTTCTGGCTCCCAAAAAATTTTTAGAAGCATTTCTTTGGGCGATACCCATATAACCCTTTTTTCTCGCATTAAAATCCCCCGGGGCGTGCAAAAGGGAACCTTTTACAAATTTTCCTGACTTCAAATACGGGGCAATACCAAATCCCCCGGGGTATGGGGAAACAGCCCAAAGCCGTACTAAAATCGTCAAGGGCCCGGGAAATACTTGTTTTTTCCCAGAAAAAATTTCATCCAACACCCCCTTAATTTGGGGGAAAAAAGTGGGGGGCGTATTTTTTGGAGGTTACGCCAAAAAGGGAAACTCAAGTACAAATTTAATTTATTTTTGGCTTTGTCTTTTTCCAAAATTTTCCCCTTCCTTTTAACCCTTTTCCCATTTGTCCTTTTTAAGAGGCGCACTACGAAAAATTTTTGCAGCCCACCCTCCAAAAAAAACAATTCTGGAACCCTTTCACGGTCTAAAATTTTAAGTTTTTTTGGGAGCATGTTTGGGGAAAAAGAAAAAAAAAAAACTCCCGCCCATTAAAAATTTTGTTCAAAACATTCCCCTTCCCTTGAGCCTCTTTCCCCAAATCTCTTTTGGGGGCCCAAGAACCAACCCGTCACGTTTAAAAATTTTCCCTGCGCTCCAGATGAGTTTTGGGCTTCCCAAGACTTCACCCTCGTTTTACCCCTCCTTATAAAAATGCCCCCCCCCCCCCCCCCCCCCCTACCCCCTGTGGATCCAAAGATCATTTAAAAATTTTGGATGACCCCAAAAACTATTTTGGGGTTCGTCAAAGCTCCCCCGTTTTCCCCCCACGATTTCCCTCTTTCCAATTTTCCCCTTTTAAGACCAAAAAAGGGAAAATAGGGTTTTCAACTCTGTGCCCACCTGCCCCTAAAGCTCAATAACCAAAAAAAACCTTGCAATCAAACGAAAAGAAAGACCCCTAAGGGGGACCGGGTTTTCTTTTCAAACTTAATAAACCTTTAGACCGGGGAAATTGGGTTTTGAAAAACCCTCGTGTAGGGCTTTTTGAAAAACAAAGTAATAAAATTTTTCCCCGATAAAAAAATATTTTTCTAAAGTGCAAACGGGGAATCATCGGGTTTTCCCGCCGACGGGAGCGATGAAAGGGGAAACACTTTTCATGGCGTTTTCCTGAAGAACAAGGTATTAAACAGAATTTTCAAAAATTGAAAAAACCCCAAAAAAAGACAAGTGGCAAAGTTTTTTGGTCCAAAAATTCTTTGGGGAAAATTTTTGCTCAAAAAAATGATAAACCCCCAACCCCACCCTTATCAAAAACCGCGGGATTTTTTTTAAAAAATTTTTTTTCCCAAACAAAACAAGTAAAATTTTATTTTTCACTTTCAAAAATCCTGAAAAAAGTGCTTTTTCAAGGGGGAGGGCCCCAAAAAAAATCTATTTTTTCCCCCAAACAGAACCCAAACAACGTTTTTTGGGCGCCCCCCCCCCCCCCCCCCGTTTCACAACCCCCCCCCAAATTTAGTTTAAAAAAATGTTATTCCCTTCAAAACTGCAAACAGATTTTTGGTTTTTACACAGACATTTTAAACCCTACCTTACCAAAAGGGTTCAAAACTCGCTGGAAGGGGAATTATTTGGGCAATTAAGCGAGGGGTTAAAACGGGGGGATCCCCATAAAAACATTTGTGTCCCACAGGCCCAAAGATTTTTGTTACAGCCCCTGTCAAAAAAAGGGGTTTTTAAAGCAAAAAGGCCATAAAACAAACGGAAAGGCTTCTAAAAATTCAATTTTGAAGCATAAAAGGGGCTGGTTGATCCCCTTTTCTCCTTTCCAGGAGACGCTTCTATGGGGATTTTTTCAGCAAACTTTTTAAAACTAAAAAAAAGGGGGTTTTCATTTGAAGAATCACCCTTTCCCCAGAAACCCCTTGGGGTTTTTGAAATGACAAAAAAACTTTTTTAATTGGGGAAAAACCCTTTCCCTTTTTGGGCCTACAAATTGGTAGTGGAAAAAAAAAAAAAAAAAAAAATGTCTTTTTACTGAGCCAAAAAAAATTTCTTTTTGGGTTTTTTAACAAAACCCGCCCCCTTTTTCTGCAATCTTTTCTGGCCCCCTTTCTGGAGCATTTTAAAACTTTTTTTGTCAAATGTTGAGGGGAATAATTTGAAGTTTGTATTAAACTGTTTCCCAAAAAATTTTGGTTTCCGGGTTTTTTTAATATCATTTAAAAGTTTGTACGCTGATTTCCAAAAAAATAAAAAATTTCAAGTTTGGGGAAACCTCCCATCTTTTCCCATTTCCCAAGACAGGAATTATTTCCCCCGGTTTAAACCCCCTTTTTAGGAAAAATTTCCTAGACCCCTCTTTTTTTCCCGCGGGGGAAAAGTGAACAGGGGCCCCAAAGAAAATTTCCCACAGTTTGGGACACCACCCCAACATGAGCTAATACAAATTTTGGGCCAAAATGTGTTTCAGAAAGAAAGGGTTTAGTCGAACCATTAGCTTAATCCCTAACTATTGTTCTTTTTAAAAAGGTCCGAGGTAAAACTAAAATAAATATTTAAAGCCCCCCAAATTTTCCCACCCCCAGAAGGTTTTTTTTTCCGGGAAGTTTTGAAAAGCTACCCCAGCGGGCCTTTTAAATTGGAAAATTTAAAAATCGTAGAATATTTACACCAAAGTGCCAGTTTTGGTATAGATGGGAACAAAATTACTTCCCCCACCAGTGGCCCGTCATTATCTCCCCGAACCCAAAGTAAGGTGGTTCCATCGATCTGTCCCCCCTTTTATAAAAAGAAACCCCGCCCTTTTTTTAAAGGGCTCTTTTACCCCCTTTACCCCTTTCAGAAACTTTAAAAAATATTTTGGGAAACTTTGCTCACCCGCTTTCCCCCGAGCCTTTTAAAAATTTCCCTCAAAATTTTTTAAAAAGGGGAAAACCCCCCCAAGGGTTTCTCCTTTTTCAACATCAAAAATTAAAAGAAGAAAAAAAGGGAATCGGGGATTACTGGCGGTTTAAACGGGTGGGGAATTTAAAACAAAAAGGGTTTCCCTAAATCTAAAAAGGGGGGTTTTTTTTCCCCCCAAATCTTGGAGCTTTACGCCTTTTTTCCCAATTTTTGGGTTTGGGTTTTGCCGGGAAAAAATGGCTCTTGGATCACCCAAAAAAATTGTCCCGGGTTTCACCTACCATTTTAAAACCCGTCGAGCCACCCTTTTTATTTCTATTGGAAGGGGGGGCCCCCGGGGAAAAAGGGGATATAAAATAAAAAGCGGTTTTGAATAAAGGGGGTTAACCCCCATCCCAAAAAATAAAAAAATTTAAGGCTTTGCTCCCAGCGGTATTTTAACCTTGATTCAACCAATGGGTTAGGGGAACATTTTTTTTCTTTCGGGCCAAAAGGAAAGCAAAAACGACCCCTCCTTTACCTGTAATCGATTCACCAGGGGTCCCAAAGGAGGGAAACAGCCGGCAAAGTATAAAAACCCTTTCCCGGGAAAAAGGGAAACGGAAAAAAACCGAGTACTTTTTAAAAAAACTTTTCACCATAAGGGGGAAGGGGGAACCCGAAAAGGGGGAAAAAATTTTTTTCCCAAGACCGCCCCTCAAAGGGCCCAAATTTTTAATAGACTAATAAAGAACCTTAGCACCCCCTTTAAAAAAAAAAAGGACATTACAACCAAAAAGGGGGAAATTTTTCCTCAAAATTTTGGGAAACGATTAAACCCC